GGGAATAAAGAAAAGGGGGAAGAAGATAAGAGAGAGCAGTGAACAGAAGGAAGGAGAGAGGGAGGGACAAGAAGAAAAAGGAGCGAGAGGGAGAGGGAATAAACAGAAGGAAGGAGCGGAGAGAAAGAGGAAAAGAGAGAAGATAGAATGAAGTGGAAGCAGAACTGACCAAGAAAGAGAGGAAGAGGGGTAGAAAGCAACTGACGGAGAGGAGATGGCGAGGGTAGAGAGAGAGAGGAGAAGAAGACAAACAAGAAACAGGTTTTTGAGCAAAGAAGTCTGTTCAAGTTTGAATAAAAATTTCTCTTTTAGCCATCGCCACTATACTTAGGGAGAGAGAGCGAGGAAAACTAATAAATACAAAGACAAATTTCCCGAAAAGAAAAACACAAAACAGAAGAAAAACAGAAAAAAAACAAATCTCACAATATTTCGCCCATAAAAGAAGTGAAGAAAATAAAGAAAATGAAACAGACAATTCCTTTTCAAAATTTCTCTTTTATTCCTTTTCAAAATTTCTCTTTTAACCATCGTCACTATACTTACTTATTTATTACTTACTTACTATTACTTATACACTGTCAATTTCATCATTATTGTTTCATCATCAGACTTTGTCATCTTCATCATTATTTTTACGGTCAGCTTCATCATTATTGTTTCATTCACACTTCATTATCTTCGTTATCATCATTATCATCATCATCATCATCATCATCATCTCTCTCTCTCTCTCTCTCTCTCTCTCTCTCTCTCTCTCTCTCTCTCTCTCTCTCTCTCTCTCTCTCTCTCTCTCTCTCTCTCTCTCTCTCTCTCTCTCTCTCTCTCTCTCTCTCTCTCTCTCTCTCTCTCAACTTCATTACTGAGATGATGATAATAATAATATAAAAATGATAACAAACATAATAATAATAATAATAATAATAACAATAATAATAATAATAATAATAATGTAAATGATAATAATAATAAATAATAATCATAATAACAATAATAATCATAATGATCATTATTATTATCATTATCATCATTGAAAAAATAGTAATTATGAAAATAAAGATAATTATGACTTACCTTTTAGTTTTAAAGCGTCTATTTCATAAGATTCCTTCTCCATTGCTCCGTTTCTTTATTAACTCTTTCTTCTTCTTCTCTGCTTCTTCTCATCGACACAAGCTAATCGATAATTTCCTCAAACACACAAAAGAGGTAGATAGAGGGATAGAGAGAGAGAGAGCGAGGAAAACCAATAAATACAAAAATATCAAAAATGACAAAATCCCCGAAAAAAAAACAATACACAAAACCGAAAAAAAATCTAAATTTCACAATGTTTCGCCCGTAAAAGAAGTGAAGAAAAAATAAACAAAATAGGAAACAAACAATTCCTTTTCAATAACAAAAAACAACAATAATAGATCAAAACACCTAAATTATCTATTTATCTATCACAAAAGCAAAGACGAGATCCAGCCCCGTGCTCTCCCTTCCGAAGCCAGGGAGAGAATGAGGGATTGAAAAAACAGCTGATAGTGGGCAGGCTAGACGACAAGGGCCAGGGCGAAGGAGCTAATGCCATGTCTCTCTCTCTCTCTCTCTCTCTCTCTCTCTCTCTCTCTTCTCTCTCTCTCTCTCTCTCTCTCTCTCTCTCTCTCTCTCTCTCTCTCTCTCTCTCTCTCTCTCTCTCTCTCTCTCTCTTCTTCTTCTTCTTCTTCTTCTTCTTCTTCTTCTTCTTCTCTCTCTCTCTCTCTCTCTCTCTCTCTCTCTCTCTCTCTCTCTCTCTCTCTCTCCTCTCTCTCTTCTTCTTCTTCTCTCTTCTTCTTCTCTCTCTCTCTCTCTCTCTCTCTCTCTCTCCTCTCTCTCTCTCTCTCTCCTCTCTCCCTCCCTCCCTCCCCTCTCCCTCCTCCCTTCCCTCCCTCCCTCCCTCTCCCTCCCTCCTCCTCCCTCCTCCCTCCTCTCCCTCTCCCTCTCTCCTCCCTCCCTCCTCTTCTCCCTCCCTCCCTCCCTCCCTCCCTCTCCTCTCCCTCCCTCCCTCCCTCCCTCCCTCCCTCCCTCCCTCCTCCCTCCCTCCCTCCTCTCCCTCCCTCCTCTCCTCCTCCCTCTCCCTCTCCCTTCCCTCCCCTCCCTCCCTCTTCTCCCTCTCCTCCCTCCCCTCCTCCCTCCCTCCCTCTCCTCTCCTCCTCTCTCTCTCTCTCCCTCCTCTCCTCTCTCTCTCTCTCTCTCTCTCTCTTCTTCTCTCTTCTTCTTCTTCTCTTCTTCTCTCTTCTCTCTCTCTCTCTCTCTCTCTCTTCTCTCCTCCTCTCTCTCTCTCTCCTCCCTCCCTCCCTCTCCCTCCTCCCTCCCTCTCCCTCCCTCCCTCCCTCCCCTCCCTCCTCCCTCCTCCCTCCCTCCTCCCTCCCTACCTCCTCTCCTCCCTCCCCCTCCCTCCCTCCCTCCCCTCTCTCTCCCCCTCCTCTCCCTCCTCCCTCCTCCAAAGCGATCTCGTTAAGCAGTCTTGTTGCCCCGCGTTTCACACTGCACCGCCATTGCCATTCCTCGCAGACAGGGGGTAAGTTAAGAGTCCATTTCACACAAAGAATAACCAATGCAACAAATGGAGTTGAGTTATAATTCATAATTATAATTCTTTCAATCTCTTTCTCTTTCTCTTTTTGTTTTTTTTCTCTTTCTCACTAGGTATTCATATTGATTTATTTGATTCCCCATTGGTATTTTCATATCATGTTATAATAATCATATTTTATTTAATATATTTAATCATATTTCTTTCTTTCATATAAATTGGTGTTGGTATCATTGATTATCTAACATCAACATTAATTTATGATTGTCATGACATCTTTACGTTTACAGAATTATTCTTTGAACATCACCTACAATATTTGATTTAATTCTGACCTAAAGAGTCGTCAATTCTTTCCATTTTTATTTTCCTCTCTCTCTTCTTGTCTTCTTCCCTCACCTTTCATTATGTCTTCCTCCTTCTCTCACTGACCTCTCTCTCTCCTTCTCCTCTCCTTCCTCCTCCTGTCCTCCTATCCTCTCGTCATCTCTACCCATCCTCCTCTCCTCATTCTCTCCTCTCTTCTTCTTCCCTCTCCTCCTCTCCTCTCTCTACCCAGACTGTCACTCTATATTCCTGACCTACCTCAACGTTTGCGATTAATCAAGCTTTCAGAGAAACCTGTTTTGGTGACTTTTTTTTTTTCTTCTATGTCTATGTATAGGTTTTATACATATACCTATATAGGGAAGAAGGGGATATCTTTTTTTTTTTTACGTGGGTGGGGGGTGGGGGGTTGTGGGTAAAGGGGTGTTACTATGGGACGTTAGCGCAAAGATGGTTTAGCTTTTTTCATTAAGATTGGTCTAGTGTTTTATTGTTTGGATCTGTTGTTGTTTTGCCTTATTTTTTTCGTATCTAATTAAGTGATATTGACCTTCATCAGGAATCTCTATTCTATCTTTATCTCTATCTATTTCGGAATAGATGAGGATGGGTGATTCAAGAGCCACGAAAATATAATTAGCAATGGTTGGCATCAATCAACGTGCATCAAAACGAACGAGAGAAACTAAAAAAAAATCAACATATTATTTCTTAGAAGTTCTGCCCAGATTCCAAAACAAATAGATAGTCAACTGAACATAGACAAATATATGCAGACGAGGGATAGAGTAAAAATGAATAAATGCAGACAAGAGATAGAGTGGAAACAGACAAATAAATGCAGACAAGAGATAGAGTAAAAATGAATAAATGCAGACAAGAGATAGAGTAAAAATAAATAAATGAATAAATGCAGACAAGAGATAGAGTGAGAATAGACAAAAAAAAATAAATGCAGACAAGAGATAGAGTAAAAAAATAAATAAATAAATGCAATAAATAAATGCAGACAAGAGATAGAGTGAGAATAGACAAAAAAAAAATAAATGCAGACAAGAGATAGAGTAAAAATAAATAAATAAATAAATGCAATAAAAATGCAGACAAGAGATAGAGTGAGAATAGACAAAAAAATAAATGCAGACAAGAGATAGAGTAAAAATAAATAAATGAATAAATGCAGACAAGAGATAGAGTGAGAATAGACAAAAAAATAAATGCAGACAAGAGATAGAGTGAAAATAAATAAATAAATGCAGAGAATGAGTGAAAATAGATAAATAAATAAATGCAGACAAGACATAGAGTGGAAACAGACAAATATATGCAGACAAGAGATAGAGTAAAAATGAATAAATGCAGACAAGAGATAGAGTAAAAATAAATTAAATGAATAAATGCAGACAAGAGATAGAGTAAAAATAAATAAATGCAGACAAGAGATAGAGGAAAGAGACAAACAAATGCAGACAAGGGATAGAGTGAAAACAGACAAACAAAAAAACAATAAATGCAGACAAGGGATAGAGTGAAAACAGACAAACAATGCAAAAGAGATAAAGTGAAAAAGAGTGAAAAGAGAGACAATAAAGTGAAAACAGACAAACAAATGCAGACAAGAGATAAAGTGAAAATAAATAAATAAATGCAAACAAGAGATAAAGTGAAAATGAATAGATAAATGCAAACAAATGCAGACAAGATATAGAGTGAAAACAGACAAACAAAAACCAATAAATGCAGACAAGAGATAGAGTGAAAATAAATAAATAAATAAATAAATGCAGACAAGAGATAAAGTGAAACAACAAACAAAACCAATAAATGCAGACAAGAGATAGAGTGAAAAGAGACAAACAAATGCAGACAAGAGATAAAGTGAAAACAGACAAACAAATGCAGACAAGAGATATAGTGAAAACAGACAAATTAAAAACAAATAAATGCAGACAAGGGATAGAGTGACAGCTGCTAAATTCAATGATTCATGTCAACACCACGTGATCTATTGACAACGGATCTTAGGCGAGGCTCACATGTTATTTTTATTGCAACCGGACAAGACAGGAAGGGAGGGACGAGAAAGGAAGTGAGGGGGAGAGAAGGAGAGGAAGAGGGGAAGGAGAAGATAGATAGAAAGAGGGAGAGGGAAAGGGGGAAATAAAGAGAAGGAGAGGAAGAGGGGAAGGAGAAGATAGATAGAAAGAGGGAGAGGGAAAGGGGAAATAAAGAGAAGGAGAGGAAGAGGGGAAGGAGAAGATAGATAGAAAGAGGGAGAGGGAAAGGGGGAAATAAAGAGAGGAGAGGAGAGGGGAAGGAGAAGATATGTAGAAGAGGGAGAGGGAAAGGGGAGATAAAGAGAGGAGAGGAAGAGGGAAGCAAGAGGGAGAGGGAAAGGGGGAAATAAAGAGAGGAGAGGAAGAGGGGTAGGAGAAGACAGTTAGAAAGGGGAAGAGAGGCGAAGGATAAGGGAAAGGGGGGAATAAAGAGAGGAGGAAGAGGGGAAGGGGAAGACAGTTAGAAAGGGGAAGAGAGGCGAAGGATAAGGGAAAGACTAGGATAGGGAGAGGGAGAGGAGAAGGGAGAGGCGGAGAGAATGAGAGAAAGGGAAAGAAAGAGGGAGAGAGAGATGAGAAGGGAAAGAGAGAGAGAAGGAGAAGGTAAAGGGAGAGAGAGGAGAAGCGAAAAGGAAAGAGAGGAGAAGGGAGTATAACAGAGAGGGGGGAAGAAGGAAGAGAGAGAGAAAGAGGAGAAGCGAGAGAGAGACAGAAAGACTTAAGAGAATACATATATGTGTAAATATATATATATATATATATATTATATATATATATATATATATAATATAATAGATAGATAGATAGATAGATAGATAGATAGAGAAGATAGATAGATAGATAGATAGATAGATAGATAGATAGATAGATAGATAGATAGATATACACATATATACATACATATACAGACGATATAATTAACACACCAAAAACAATTATAGAACAGTCCGTATCGACTACAAGAATTCGATAACTCTAACAATATGTCAACATAGATGATGTTATGACACTCTGCCAGCGTATAGTAGTATACACTAATTTATGTGTGTTGGTGGAGAAGGTAAGGAGAAGGGAGAGGGAGAGAGGGGAAGTGGAGGAGTGAGGGGAGAGGGGCGGAGGGAAGTGAAAGGGTGAGGGGAGGGGGGGAGAGGAGAGTGAGAGGGGGTAGAAGAGGAGGAGGAAGGAAGGTGAGGGGGGGGGAGGGAAGTGAAAGGGTGAGAGGACGGGGGGGGGGGGAGAGAGGGAGAGTGAGAGGGGGTAGAAGGGGAGGAGGAAGGAAGGTGAGGGGGGGGGGAGAAGGGAAGTGAAAGGGTGAGGGGAGGGGGGGGAAGGGAAGAGTGAGAGGGAGTAGAAGGG